ATGGACTGGCAATTTTAGCCACATGGATAATATCCAGGCCAAGGTGGCTGAATTCAGCCAGGCCTGCATCTGACTGAAGAAATCTGTCATACGTCAAAAGACACAAAGATGCACATTATTCCTGACTCCACCCATGACATATGCTCGCCTGCATCCTTTGGGTTATCAAGGCTAATTGTGAGCCACCAAAAACACAGTGACATTACAGGGGGTTTGCATAGTGCTGTGATTTATTTTACTAAAAAACAACCCACAAAAAATTTAGGAAGGAAAACAAAGGTCGTAAAGTTGTCCAAAGCAATCAATCCAATTCTGTTCATGTCTAATCTTTCTTTGCACGCTGATCATTACTAACTTTGTCCCTTTCTGGGCATGCAGCAGGGTCTTTTCAGCCATGTTGTCATCGTATGTGTAAGCCAGGAGAAGGTGGGAACACCCAAAGAACTTCATCCTCTTGGAAAGGCTGTAACAGCACTGTAAAAGCTCTGCTCATGGTAAAGCAGACCTTCCGTTCCAGATGCATCCCCAGGCAACCACACTGCCAACGGAATATCTCATATCCCTGCCTTTTTTGGGGCTGACATAAGAACTGTTGCTTCAAACAGTTTATGCTTTTGGTCCTTGCACAGGAGGTATTGTGAGCAAGGGCTGTGCCTCCCTGAGATAACACAAGGATGGGGGGTCCCCAGACTCACTGCTAATGAGGTATAAGTTTGTCTCATGTACTAAAAGTATCTTTTAAAACCTCCTCTTTACAAGAAAATACCGTTAAACTACCGATGCACATGAAGAGGAGTGCAACTCCAGAGGGAAATTCAGTGCTTCCGGCTCTCTGGGAGAAGGCAGCTGCCTTCTCATCCCCACCTCACTGCATGGAAAATGTACCCCAAAGGAAGTACAATGTGCACGTCCTCCTGCTGCCTGCTTGTGAAAACACTTGGAAATGCCATGGTCCCACCACCCACCACCAAAGCACGTCCTATCAAGTTTAACAGGCCATTACTATCTTCCTGCTGCCTCCCTCAGTTCCCAGGGGAACACACCAGTGACTCACTTTCCAGAAAGTCTAGGGAAGGCCTTTCTCACTTGTCTTCATAATTCCAGAGGCTTTTAAAAGAATTTCTCCAAAGCCCCATTCCACAGCTTTGATTGTGTAGGTCTTCTCCACAAAGCCCAGCAGGCAGGGGTTGTGCTCCTGGCTCCTCCACCAGCAACCCTGGCTGCATCCTCAATCCAAGTTTTAAACTCTTTGCATACACTTGCTATTTGCAGGCTATGGGAATGGACCTGGCTGGTGGCAACAGCTTGCACTTTTCTTTGAAAAGGTCTATATTAACAGATCAAAATACTGCTGGTTTCTTTTTTTTAATATATATTTAAATATGTATTTTTATAGTAAATACAGGACACTGGTCCAAGTCTTCCATAGGCAGTGAAATGAGGCCCTTTTGAAAGATGAATTTGGTGCCATGACCTTGAATCACTCTCTATACACAGAGGAAAAATTGTGAATCTGTCACATAACAACTTTTATGTCTCATATTAGTCCTGTATGGTATTGCCATATACATCTCTATAAATGTAACACAATACTATATATATATATATATATACATGAAATCCACAAAGGCATCCCAAACACTCCTGGGTCATTTCCACATTCCTACACGCAGAGCAGGAATTTCAGTGCTCTCTTGGTGCAATCCACAACAGCCCATACCATAACCTGGTTTCTGTTGGTAGCCTCCTAAAAATCCCAATCTGCATTTATAAAAGCAATTGTAGCCTGTTGCTTATGCCTTTGGAATGGAAGGAAAACTTTGGCTTGTCTCATGCAGTACTTTACCCGGCATTTGGGTGGTCTCAGGCCAAGATTATACAGAAAAGGCTTCAGAAAAAAACACCCTATTTAATCACATAAGCAGTGTTTTTCTTGAATCACAGGCACTGGAAATTTTGCCTCTGATTACCAGCAGGCTAGGCTGAACACACACCAAAAAAAGACTGAAGAAAATATTTTGGGGGGAGACTGCAATGTGTCCCCTCACAATTTTGACTTTTTAGGACACTCCTGACAAAGTCTGGCTGTTTGCTTTTCCACCAGGAAGCATGGGAAAGCAGAGGGCTCACGTGATTTGAACACCTCCTATGTTTCAGTTTTCTCCTTCTTCTCTACTCTGCTCTCATCTCTTGGGGTTTTGATCCACAGAAATCTTTAGGAAGGTTTATTTTTTCTACCTACAGAAGCTTTACTCATTAATGAAGGGCTCATCTAGTGAGTTGACATCATCATGTTTCCATAACCTACTATTCCCTGAATCACCCTGGCCTTCAGCAGGGATTTTATTTTTTTTTTTTCATGATAAAGTCAGTAGTTAGATGAACATCCTACCTGTGACAATAAATTAGTTCTATTTAAGATTTCTGATTAAGTTTGGATAAGCATCAGAACAGGTTTTTTAACTGTTACTTTCAAATGCAGCGCGAGAATACCTTCCAAAGAGATGGAAGCATAAAAAGTGTCCCTCATTTATACCATAAATCTACACCTGCAAGGGGAAATGTCTACAGACACCTCTACTTGGATGGCTGGAGACAGACTCTACTAGGGTATATTTTAAGCATCTTCCAGGGAAGTATCTGTTCTAATGAAGAGCAACAAGACTTCTTTATTTCCTCGTGAGGTGCACTGTTTTATCCAGTTTCCATGTATCAGGCCCTCTCTGTGCAGACACTCACAATCCTGGCAAACCTGGCCAAGAAACACTCTGTGTCTCAGAAATGGAGGTTTACAGCTAACAGCAAAGAGCCATGCAAAAAAACCCCCAAAAAACAGCAACTGTGGAAGAGCACAACTCTCAGCATCCTGCTACTTTCAGCCACTAAAACATTCTGTTAAAAATCTCAGGGACAGCGCATACATACATATCTTAATTTTCTCATTTTAAACCCAGCCAGAATTAGCACACTGCCAGTATCCAAAGGTGCAGACCTTGTTGCTCTAAACCTCCTAAAGTTGTATTGCTCTGGGAAAGGACAGGAACCATAAAAAGCCTGAGCTGGGAGGCAGCTTTTATGCCCATGTTCAGGCCTCTAGTAAGCTGTCCCACGAAATGTAAAGAGACCTCCTGCTCAGCCAGGGCTCTGATTTCCATAGCCTGTGCCTGCAGCACTCCTGTATTTTATAAGCCATATTAACTCACCTCTTGCACTGGGAGGTTGGGGCAGTGGCACACTGTCTAATAATGGAACATATTTGTTAATACTAATAGACATTTGTAAAACTACCACACGCCTTCAGCCTTCAAGTCAAAGCGCAGGATGCTTGCTAAGGCTGTGAAATGTATGATGTAAAACTTGGGATGTTTTGGTTACAACATATCTCATTTATTTTTACTGTCATCACCCTCCCTGGTATATAATACCTGCTGCACGCAGAGTGAAATATTGCAGATGTTTTCAAAATAATTCTGGGCTGGTGGAGAAACCAAAAGGTCTCTTGTGCATAAGGTCTGGTTCTTTTCAATTCAAAACAACTAGGTAACAAAGTTTCTGTGTGCTGGTATTTTAAAAGGCCTGGATTCCTCTGAGCTGACTCATACTTGCACTGCCCACCCAAAAACTCACCTCTGAGAACTTTGAGAGAGGTTCAATCGCCATTTTGATACCCTCAGGATTCAAGAATGAAGAGTAAAAAGATAAAACTAGTTTTAACTATTCATTAGTTTTTGGTACTTCACATAATTTGTGCAATGGCTTCAGGGGTTTAATTGAATCACTTTTCCCACCTTGTCTTAATTTTAATTATGCAGCAATCATTTTTACCAACCTGTGCAAAGGAGCCATATGAAAATGTGACATATGACAATATACATTTACCTAAGCTCTAGGACTACTCTGACCTACAGGCAATTAGCTACTGCCTCCAGCACTCAAACGACCAATTAAAGAGTTAACAAAATGCCCTCCAAATCACCTACATGTTCAGGTTTTTTGGACTGCCATGAACATTATACTTCAACTGACATAATTTTTGACTGACTGATTCACTAAGTCTGCATCGGCTAAAATTCTAGAGCCATGCCTGTAAAACCAAGGAATCAGGTTTTATGAGGTGCTTTCATTGTCATTAAAGACGATCCCACCTTAGCCCTTTCCCTAACAAGACAACCTTGCAGCAGTCATTACAAAATGTGATCCCGGCTTGTCGTCAGGGAAGAAATGGCTTGCTAGGTCAATGAGGACTGCACTAAGTTCATCTCAAGGATGTAAGCCATCCATCTGAATGGCTACCAGCCAAGAACAAAAATATTAAAAGAGACACAAAGGACCCGTTTTTTCAAGACCTGGCTCCCACAGTTTTACAGGTAGCCAATTCCAGAAATCCAGAGAGATTAAATCAGTAGTCACAAATGGATACATTTACATCTCTTAATGATTTACAGCGTACTAGTGAGCATTTCACTGCAGAAAACAGATCATTAACAGCCAGAACCACACAACAGAAATGACCCTAAGATGGACAATTTCAAAGAAAAATGCATTCAGATGTGTTCTTGCATGGGAATTAGAGAGATCCAGGACATTGCTAATTATATCAACTGAGGGAGAAGTGAAGGGTGGTAATCTGCCCAGGAAATCCCGAGTTCCAGTCCTGCCTCTAACAATAACTCAAGTTGTGGTTTTGTAATCTCCTTTCCTCCCTTCCTCAGCTGGCAGTGGGGTTTAACAATAGCCCCTGACACATATTTTATGTGGTGCCATGAGGACTGACATTCTGAAAGCGCTTTGAAACCAATAAATTGTCTGGGTGGCCCTCCAGAATCTCACGTGTTGGGTATTCTGTCACAATTCAGAAAAGTTCTGCCTTCTGTGAGCAATGTGGTTTCATGATGGTAACTCACAGGTAGAGGCTGATTTGCAAATCCACCACCAGGATTCCATGCAAGGAAATCCTGACTCTGCAATGAAAAACACTGATGTAAGAGATTGGTACAGACCTGAGGCTTGCATGCTGATTCTCAGGTGATCTGATGCTGTTTCTCTGAAGCTGACTGACATCATGGTCTTAATGCTTGGAAGAAACTTTTCTGGATTTGAACAGAAAGGGAAGAGTATTACTGGTGTTCCTTCTCTGGCCACGAAGACCCCAGTTCTGCCCAGATTCACACAGGTGAAGCCCCACTGGCTTTGCAGGGCCTAGGAGATGCTGCTCTTCTGAACCTGAAAGCACACTGAAAAGCCAGCCCAAAAGCCGGCCCAATCTTTTGGATGCCATCAGAAACTGAAGATAGAGCTAAACAATCCAGAATGGAATTTCTTTTCCACCCTCTGCACTTTCATTACTAAGACAAGGCCCATAGGGCATGTTGGCCAAACAGCTTCACTACACAAACATGGTAAGGTGAAGTGAATGGCATCACAGAGAGAAATTAATCAGTCCAGTGACTTAAGGCTACTTGTCTTAAGTCTTACCATGTGGGAAACCAATGTCTGGCAACAGCAACCTTAGCACTCCTGTTTTCCAAGTCAGTGGCTTCAGGGAGCATCATGGAGGTGACACTCTTGGCCTTCAAGGGGCTAGGGAAATCAATATTGGCAATGTGAAGGACACTTAATGACAGCCAAAAAATATTTGTTGGGTTTTTTTATCAGTGATAGAGACATGAGGGAAAATAGGTAGTTATAAATGGCCAGGTAGGAAAGATAAAACAAAACAAAATAATATATACAAACAAAATAAAATACACATAAACAAACAATAGTTTATTTACAATAACAAATAAAATAAGATATACAAAAAACTCCAACCAACCACAACAAATCAAAAATAAAGACAAAAAAACCCAAAGAAAACCAGTAACAACAAAACAAACAAAACCCCCCAAACCAAAACAAAAAAACCACCCAAGCCACAAAACTCCCAATGCATTATTTTTTTGGCTGTATTTGCTGTAAAGGCCAGTGAAAGAGAGTGAAAAAAGCAACTTTTTGGCACCCAGAGCTGCTTTGCTTTGAAAAATATGGAGACAAACTTAACAATGAAGAGTCGGGATTCCATAGGGTTGTTTATGTATGGAATACAGGCAAATGCATATGATTATGTAGAAGTGTGTCTGTGTGTAATGTAGCATTAACACCAATTCTAACAGCCTTATGAAATGATAGATTAAAAAGAAAGAGAGGAAGAAAGGAAAAGCAAGCTAGATTTTTTTCCCCCTCTTTTACAAATATGGTGCAGTTTACAGAAGCATGGTCCTTTTTTAGGAAGAATTCTAAATGCATCATTCAAATATTGTTTGAGCTGAATACATGATATACATATCATGAATACATATAATCACAGCACAGTCTTTTGTGGAAGTTCTGAAAATAGCATTGGAAAAAGCTGACCATGAGTTTCCATCTATGGATTTGCATTTGGTTAACATGTGTGAACCGACTCCATTCATCTCATCCTCAGTGGGAACCATCCTGGTGCTCCAAATGGCCAAGCTGAAAAGTTTGGCCTGAATGACAGGAATCATTTCTGTGGGTCTGATGTCAAGGACAGTACCTACAGGTGAAATTATGGGAATGAACTGGGGAGCTCCATTGCACTGAAAAATCCCTACAGGTACCATAACAGCTACTGCATTGCAAACTGCAGGTAAAATATGAGGAGCCCTGTGGCAAGTAAAGTTGTAAGTTATCTGCTGATTTTCCTAACCTTTTTCCACCAGTTCCCCTTTGGCAGGAAAGTTTAAGGTTGCTGGGAAGGCTAAAACTTCCTTCTCTCCACCTCCAGTCTTCCAGGATGTAGCTTAGTTTCTCTCACTTCTTCCATTGCAGACTGCTGGGGAAGGGCAGGGGGGAAGAGGGAAAGGGATAAATCAGAAAAAAAAAAAGGCAATTAGGAGGGTGAGCTTCAAAAATCTCCACAGCCCCTCTCTGCTCAGCTGGGAAAGTCTGTGCCGAGGGTGCCCGGAGGTCAGAGGGGACATCGCCGCCCTCTGCAAAACCTGTGGGAGCCGGTGAAGCCAGAGGATGTGGGAAGGGTGGCAGGGAGAGCTGAGTGCTCTAAGTAGCATGTTTCCTAGGAAACCTTCGACAGCAAATATCACATTAGTCCTGCCTTGTGGCCCAGCTCATGTGATGTCAAGAACAATTTCTCACAACTCAGCTCAGAAGGTTAGCAAGACTTGGTGAAATGTTCAGTGACTCTGGCCTGGCTTTCCAGCTGGGAACAAAACATGAAACTGAGGGTGTTTGCATTGTTTTGGAGTTTTGTGGTAAATTCCTATGCAAATGTTTTGTTACTTTTTTTTAAACATTATGGTGGATTTCCCCCATGAGTGAGTTTGCAGAGACTCACCCAGTTGCTATACTGACTCTTAAGGAACTTCATTTAACAAAATAAAGAAAAGAAAAATGGAAAAACAAGCAGTCTCATGGAAAGCCTTAGAACAGTCAGATCACTGTTCAGCTTGTGCACTGATTAAAAAAGCTCCGTCATAGACTTCTGGCATTACAAAACTTTGTTTACAACTCTCCTTTCTAATTTCTGTCAGCTGCAGCCTGAAAATATCCATAGTCTAGCAGATTTAACAAAAAAAGACGTAAGCTCTGGCAGCTAAACTCAGATATGAGATGCACTTCAGCCTCCCAAGAGGGCTCCCAGCAGCTCCTTAGTCTGGGACCCAGCACCTTAGGATGGGTCTGAGTGCAGAGATGCAGAGTTTTGGTTCTCAAGGCTACACGACATTTTCAGGTTGAGTATTTGGGGGGCTATGTGGTACCACAGACCTACCCCTACTGTACCTGTTACGCACAGCTTGTATCTTTCTCCCCTGAATTCTTGCAAATTGGCCTGACTGGAAGGCAACCCTGGTGGATTGTACAGGTAAGGTCCCACACTGCTGCCATTCCTAGTGGTTTCACATCTGTGACTTCAGTGGCGTTGGACTTCTAATTTTTTAAGAGAAAAGATACTAAAACTGAAAAATCTTCCTCTGGTGACACACTTCATCTCATACGTAGTGAAATATTAAGATCCTTTTTAATGGAAAGTAATATATTTAAACAAATTAAAAATAGTCCCACTAATTTCTTTTTAATCATAAGCTAACTTAGGTGTTTGACCTCTTTATTTCCTTTTGCTGCTTCTCATCTTCAGTGATTTGAGCCCTCAGATCTAGAGGGTTTTTTCCCTTTTTTTTTTTCACTTCCCAGGGAAATAAGCAATGAATACAAAAAAGAACAAGGCTGCTTGAGGTAACTGAGAAACATCAGTGTTGAAATAGGTCCATTGCTTCTTTTTATCCCATTTTAGGTACAGGAGGCCTGATGGATCAGCTTTTCCTTCAGGAAAGCCAGGATTAAGGAGGTCAGGTCAGCAGTGTGAGAACGCCTGTAAGAGCACTGTGGGAACACAAGGCTCCCTTATTAGCACGTTAATGTACTGAACCTGAAGCTCATTTAAACAAGATGGAGACAGTTGAGTTCTCCCCCCTCATCCCAAATCTTCGGTGCCCTCAGAGCTGTTTGATCCACCAAGTGACAAATTTCCGAAGCCGTGCACTACTGGAAATCTCATAAACTAGAGCAAGTGCAATAGGATTTACTGACCACTGCAAAGGTTTCTCTTAAGATCCAAAAGCAGAGGTTTACGCAGGACAGCAAAGGCTCCTGCTGAGATTACAGCAGGTGAAAATATACCAGAGCATTGAGTCCCCTAGACCCGCCACCACCTTTGTGGGAAAACAGCCCTCACAGATGGAACATGGCATCCGCCCTCACACAGAGAACATGGCATTCACCCTCACGGAGGGACATGGCACCCACCCTCACTCAGAGAACATGGCACTCATCCTCATGCAGGGAACATGGCACCTGCCCTCATGGATGGAACATGGCACCTGCCCTCACGGAGGGACATGGTACTTGCCCTTTTGGACAGAACATGGCACCTGCTCTCACGCAGGGACATGGTATCTGCCCTCATGGAGGGACATGGCACCCGCCCTCACAGAGGGAACATAGCACCTGCCCTCATGGAGGAACATGGCACCCGCCCTCACACAGGGAAGATGGCACTCGCCCTCACGGAGAGACATGGCACCTGCCCTCATGGAGGGAACATGGTACCTGCCGTCATGGATCGAACATGGCACCTGCCCTCACGGAGGGACATGGTACTTGCCCTTTTGGACAGAACATGGCAACCACTCTCACGCAGGGACATGGCACCTGCCCTCACAGAGGGAACATAGCACCCACCCTCATGGAGGAACATGGCACCCGCCCTCACGGAGGGACATGACACCTGCTCTCATGGATCGAACATGGCACCCGCTCTCATGCAGGGACATGGCACCCACCCTCATGGAGGAACATGGCATCTGCTCTCACAGAGGGAATATGGCACTCGCCCTCATGCATGGAACATGGCACCTGCACTCATGGACGGACACGGCACCTGCCCTCTTGGAGGGAACATGGCACCTGCCCTCATGGAGGGAATATGGTATCTGCCCTCATGGAAGGATGTGGCACCCGCCCTCACAGAGGGAACATGGCACCCTCCCTCACATGGCACCCAACTGCCCATGAACCCCTTATCCCACAGCCCCGAGCCCTGGCTGGCACCTCCCGCCAGCCCCAGCTCACTTGTGCTTTCCTCTTAGGTCAGGTGTTTTCACCTGACCCAGGTGTTTCCACCATCCCCTCATGCCGGAGGTACATCCCCTCACAGAGACTGTGAGGGGGGGTGGGAGCTGCCCCCACCATTTCCCACCACCCTGCCCTCACCTCACCAGCAGTGCCTCAGGGGAAGGTGGCTGAGGAACAGGCATTTACTAAAATTATATAAAACATTTACTTAGTAGAAATATTAACAATAATAATAAAAAAATTAAAAGCCATTTCCCTCACTATCAAACTCGGTGCTCCGGTATTTCCTGACTGACAAAACCACGCTGCATTTTTTTCCCCACATGCTCTCCAGACCAAGGCTCCCACCCTCACAAACACACACACGTGCTGCACACGTGTCGTATCTCCCAGACATGTAAATGCTTGGGGGGGGGGGGGGTTAAAGTTAATTCTATCC